TTAATGACACAAATCTGCGATTCAATGAAGTCCTGTATTGACGACAATAAAGTGGTTGATGTGAACCAAATGAGCGCATTCCTCGACATCAGGACCAAAATCATTAGTCGATTAACGCCTCAAAGCAGTGGATCAGTTGTGAGCGAAACCCAACAGTCGGACAATTATGTGATGAGCCATCGATTTGAAGACCTATCGTCTGATAAGCCAACGGACGAAGTGGTGAATGATTTGGATCCGTTTGACGACGACTTCGAGCAACACGTGGAAGGCCTTAATTTCAATGACTTAGTGTCTGATCCGCAGCTCAAAGACAGTGTCACTAAGCCTATGGATCAGTCAATCATTGATTTGTGTGATAACAACAGCGAAGAGTATGTTTCAATGCCGTCGCCATTCAGTGAAGACTCTGTGATAATATCGGCTGAAATTGAGTGCAAATCGAGCGGTAATTATAAGGATAACTATAACGACATTGAAGTGATTGATGATATGGAAGATTTTGAACGCAATGTATGGCCCGACAGAACCGATATAAATGACACATCATTTGATTTATACGAAACTAATAGCGATTATAATAATTTGAATAATGGCTTTGAATCGGAAAAGACGACTCCAATTGAATACGATTTCAATAAGAGTATCGATCAAACAAATGGTCACAAAACAAACTTAAACACATCAAGTGATGGCAAATTTGTGGGCATTTATAAGAACGACGGCAACGACTCGTATTTGAAGCGAACAAATTTCCCACATTCTGTCGAAATGGAGAGAAAGTTTCGCCAATTCTTTAATCTGAAGACTTTTCGATCGAATCAAATGGAAGCGATTAATGCGGCGCTCCTTGGAATGGATTGCCTGATACTGATGCCAACGGGCGGTGGAAAGAGTCTGTGCTATCAATTGCCGGCTGTTGTGAGCAAAGGCGTGACTATTGTGGTGTCTCCGCTCAAGTCACTGATCATGGATCAGGTGGAGAAGATCACCAGTAAAGGCGATGGTATGGCCAAAGCGTTGACGGGCGATATGGACGCGCATGAATCAAGTCTTGTATACTCGGACCTGAGGTGCAAAGAGCCCACTATTAAGCTGTTGTTCGTCACACCGGAGAAGATTAGCGCGAGTACTGCTCTCATATCAGTGTTTCATGACTTGCGCGCCAAACAAATGCTGTCCCGATTTGTGATCGATGAGGCGCATTGTGTCAGCCAATGGGGACACGATTTTAGGCCCGATTATCAACGGCTCAGTGTATTGCGAGAACAGTTCCCATCGGTTCCCATAATGGCGTTGACGGCGACGGCCACACAAAAAGTGCGTTTGGATATATTGGCGCAGTTGGGCATTGATAAGACGTCCACCAAATGGTTTATGCAGTCATTCAATCGACCGAACCTTAAGTTTGAAGTCCGACCGAAGACTCGCACCTCTTATGAGGAGATTAAGTTCTTGCTTAAGAATGACTTCCGATCAAAATGTGGTATTATTTACTGTTTGTCTCGCAAAGAGTGCGACAACTTATCGGTTAAATTAGCCGGCGATCAGATAAAGGCGCGGTCATATCACGCGGGACTCAGCGATGGCGACCGCAAACGTATTCAAGAGGACTGGATTAAGAATAGATATCACGTGATTTGCGCCACAATTGCCTTCGGTATGGGTATCGATAAGGCGGACGTCCGGTTCGTTATCCACAACTCAATGCCCAAATCAATTGAGGGCTACTATCAAGAGGTGGGTCGGGCCGGACGTGACGGAGATATAGCCCATTGTATACTCTATTACAGCGGCAATGACTTTCAGACCTGGAAGAAGATTTTGGCCAAGTCTTCAAAGGGAAGAATACGCGATGTGTTCATGAAATACCTGTATTTGACTGAATTCTATTGTAATAATAAGGCTGAATGTCGAAGAGTACAACTGCTAAGATATTTTGGTGAAGTATTTGCGGCCGAAAATTGTAATAAAAACCTGTTAACCGTTTGCGACAACTGTCTTGAGTCGAAAGACCTGTACCACAGCATTGATATTACAGAAGATGTGAAGTCTATATTGCAATCAATTGAAACTTTGGTCGGAAAGTTTGGCCAAACGCGCAAAGAGAATATCCCTCTCACAAAAGTGTTTCCCATTTTCTATGGAAGCGATAAATTGGAGTCGAGATATACGAAGGTTTCCATGCATTTAAAGGGAAAACGTTTCTGCCGTACGGACGCCGACCGGCTCTTCAAGAATCTAATCTGTGATAAATATCTGTCAGAAGACACGACTATATCCAACCCGAAAGGCATACTCATAGCTCACAGTTACATAAAACTCGGTGAGAAAGCAAAGGATATTCTCTATAATGGGCAGAGATTCAACTTTTTAGTCCTCAAACGAAACTCCAATTTTAGAGGAGAGTTAAGCGTCGGCGGCAGTAGTGGCAGCCCATACAGTGGTGCCTCCACTTCGACCAAAGGCTGGGGTCAATACAAGGCCAAACCGACCCGCAAACCTACCAGCAAACCCACCAGCGCTTCCAATTCAAAGTACTTCAACTCCTCATCCAAACCGGCGTCGAGTTTTGGTTATAAAACGGGTTCATTTATATCAGTGCCTAAACGCAAGCCTAAAAAGCCTCAACTTTGACACTGCTTTTAATTACTGGCCAAACAATAATTTATTTTTCTATTAATTCATATTTGATCTCATGTTTTATAATTGCAATTAATTGATAAAATAGTTATTTGTGTGTATATTCACAAATTTACATTTATTTTAAACCCTAACAGTAATGTATCAAATATTGTTAAATAATACATTTAATAAATTGAAATTCTTATTGTATTGCATTGATTTGTTTACTGGTTTGAAGATTATTGGCTGCATTGCAGTGACTTATAGTATATTTATTGTATGGATATAATTATAATAATGATAAAGTATTTTAAAATTAGGATTGATGTACACAACAGTAATGCGAGATTGTTTACTGGTTTGAAGATTATTGGCTGCATTGCAGTGACTTATAGTATATTTATTGTATGGATATAATTATAATAATGATAAAGTATTTTAAAATTAGGATTGATGTACACAACAGTAATGCGAGCGCTGTATTGTTTAAAATTATAGTGTAGTTCCCCTTACCATAGCTATTACTATTACTATAGTTGTAGTACTTAATCAATTTCATTGATTTTATAGTTTAGTTAAGTATACATACGTGTAATGGAAGTAAGTATAAATACAGTATATCTATATATAAAGATAGTTTAGAAAATTGATGGATTCTAATGGGTTACTGATAATAGTGGGCATCATTTAATGTACTTTTCTGTGTTAGTAACCATAGGTATTGGCTTATTGGCGATACAGTGCAGCCGTGGAATCGTGTGATTAATAATCACTGATTATCTTACATTATGGCCAATGCCCACACTGTCTGCACTGGGTTTTGATTGCTTAAGTCATTTATTTTATATTAAATATATTTGAAAATTAGTTTATATAATATATTTTTAGAAACAAAATATTTAAACACAAATAAGTTTTTATGTTAATTAAAAGAGCATTTATTTTACTGAAGAATTTTGGCTCAAATCTTAATTTAAACAATTAAATAGTTTTTAAGATTTATTTTTGGCAAACAATACGAACATTAAATATTTTAAATGCTTTTCGTTTTATCCCACAAAATGTATCTAAAAAATTAAATTATTTTTAAATTTAGATACAAATAATTTTTGAGTATTGCTCTCACTATTGGACACATTTTAAGCAAAACATTACTTAACTTATTATATTAACAGAATATAAATTTATACAACAAATAATTTATATAAATGTTCTAAAGTATCTAATAATATATTAGAACTCAATTCAGCATAATTAACTATACATTTATTATTTTATATTTCATTTTAAACAAAATTCT